AAAAGTACGTGAGCAGGTACGGAGTTAACAAGGAACGTACCCGACACTACATCCGTCGACGCCTTAGCTTCTTCTCTCGACATCTGAAAGGCTCGGCCGATTGCTTTCGGGGCGCCTTCTTTTCTTCCTTGACTCCCACCTATTTTCAACTTTTGGCAATCATTCTTGAAATGGCCTAGTTCCCCGCATCCAAAACATATGGGTCCCTTGATTGGACACTCGTTTCGTGTGTGGCCTGTCTTCCCACACTTAAAACATTTGGTAGGGGTGGAGTTGGTGCTACACGAGCCGTGATGTTTACTGCGGCACTTGGGACACCATCTTGACTCTTGTTTGTGATGGGCTCAGCGATTGTTGTTGCTAAAGTGATTTGGCCTTTTGGATGGTGCGTAGGGCCCTTCCCAGTTCCTCTTCTCACCACTCGACATTCTTTCTTCTTTTCCCTTAACAAAAACTGATTCCAAGACCTTGGCTTCTTCGATCGCCTCCCTGAGGGTGGAAGCTCTTGATTTCCTAACCATTACCATCATTTCTGCAGGTAGTCCTTTAATGTAAGCCTTCATTTTACCTTTCTCCATTGGGGTCACGTGTCCCACCAAGTTTAGTTTTTCCATGAAGAGTCGGGTGTAGTCCCTTACTGATAAATTTCCCTTCTTTAGGGTTCGGAATTCTTCTTTGATACGATCCATCTCCTGTTCATTGCAATATTCTTCCATCATTTTTTCCTTGAATGTGGTCCAACTCATCTTGGTCAATTTAGTAACCTCGATAGTCGAGATGACAATGTTCCACCAGGTAAGAGCTGCACCCCTCAGCATTTGAGAGCCAAACTTCACTTTTTGTCCCTCGTCACAGTCACAAGCCCGAAAGGCTTGCTCGATTTCCCGGAGCCAATTCATGCACGCCACGGGATCGTCCGACCCCACAAATTCTGGTGGCTTACAACATAGGAAGATTTTGTAAGAGCAAATTCTACCCATTTGTCTCGCCTCAATCGTTGCTAGCTCCTGGGTTGGGATTCCATTTCCTGTACC